TTCCGATCTATAAAAATCTTCGAGTTATAGAAGTTTCGACTTATAAAAGTTTGAGTAAAAGAGAATTGACATGAAAATTCGACTTATGGAAGCTTTGTACAAGAGTTTATAATTTTCCGATTATAATGGCTTTTAAAGGAACAAATTCGAGTGGTTCTCGAGTTATAGAGGTTCGAGTTATCGAGATTCGACTGTACTTTAACGAAGAAGTTTAATTCCAAATTCATTTAGATCACGCATTGGTCTTATTGTCTCGTTAGCGACATTGAATTATCGCCCACTGAAAGACATCGACCGAGGTTTGACATTCGCGTCTACACAATCGTATCCGGTTACGCTTCGAAGATTTCTCTCTGGTAGCGCGCGCTGATCGGCAAGGAACAATCCGATTACCGGAGGCCATGAAAGCCCTGCGGATAGAGGCAGAAAGAGCAATCCTTTTCTCGATCTACGTCTAATACAGCCGATAATCTAATATCCCGCTTGCCGTGATGGACCTTTGCACCTTCGTCTTCATTACCTATCCACCACGCCTCGTTCGTTCTACGGGATCATTGATCTCTGGCGTGGTAACGGTTGATCGCTACCGCACAATCTCAACACTTCGTACAGTTCCGGCTTGCAAAAGCCTTCTATCTTTCATTCTACAATTAAAATTCTGAAACGCTACGCGTCCGACGGTTTATTATTTTTGTAAGAAATAATTATTTCCTGACGTTCATGGAATTCGTATACTCTTTAAACAGATCCTCACAGATCGAGAATGTTCTCGTATTCCACATGGAACTGTCCGCAGCGATCTGCGATTATTCCATCGCCGAAAATAAAGTTCGAAACAAATCGACAAACACGAATACAATTCTACGAATTTTCCTTCAGCATCTTTAAACAGCATGCGGAAACGAACTTCCAATTTTTCAGCTTTATGCAAATTTTCGGGAACCAGTTATAATCAAACATGATAGATTCGTATTGACAGGACCCGGCTGGATTCTGGAAATTCCAAACAGTGCGAATAATCATCGCGGCAACGAATACGCGTCACGGCAGCTTCGGCATCTCGTCGTCGCGGAAAAGTTCTGACGTTCCTTATTCCATTCGCCAATTTAATGGGGTTCCCTCCTCTTCTCGATAGAAAAGTATTCCTAACGACATTTCCGCGACACGGCATATATATCATCGCCGGATCCGGCTTTGCCCGCCTCGAGCATCCCGGAAAAGTTTAAGACGGCTTGCCGAGGAGAGAGAGAAAGAGAGAGAGAGAGAGAGAGAGGGGGGGGAGGAGGAGATAAGGGTCGGCCATGGATTACGCGGCGATTTTAAACTCATTTCGATGTGGGATTTTTGTTTGCCGAGAAAACAACGGACTTCTGGTCCTTCTCTCTTTCTCTTTCTCTCTCTCTTTCTATTTTCATCTCTCTCTTCTTTTGTTCTTCCACGGCACGTTCTGCCGACGATATCCTCGAGGTCGAATCCCGCAGAACTCTTCGACGTCCCCCGACTTGACTACGTATTTTCTTTGTCCCGCCGCTTTTTTTTCCATCGACTAGGAGAAAACTTCTTACATATTTTATATTCTGCGCCAATGTCTCGAGAGGCCGTGTTCTCGCCACCGCGGGATTAACCGAGTATTAGTGCTGCGCGGACGACGCTTTTCTGATTTATCGTCGCGCTTCTCGTCGCGTCTATTTCGAGCGGCTATTCCTTATTCTCGCGTACAAGATGCTCGCATTTCTTGCCTGGCCCTCCCGGGAGTCGGGAAATGATCCTTTACTTTCTTGTCGGCGGCAGTTAAACTCACGCAAGAACTGATGAGCGCAGGAATGCGCTGATGTATTCACTGATGCGTTCGTGGCCTTTCTTGCGGTGAACGGATTGCAAAAGGGTACAATATACTATCTGCA